AGCAAGGGGATTAGGTATTTCTTAAGCTACAACCCCATAGACAGCAATCAACCTTCAAGTGGGCTTTTCAAAAATTGGTTTGTCGCTTCTATGAATCCTACAAAATCATACAAAAGATCGGACCAGTTGTATACAAACTACAACTACCTTCCGAACCCAGTCTTCCATGTTTCCGTGCTCAAAAAGAAAATAGGAGACTCCCCCAGTTGGCCGGATGCACTACCAGCAATGACAGATGAAGGGGACCTCATTTTACAGCCAGATGCCATCCTTGATGCCCATTGGACAAAGCACGGCTCCCGCATTATAGAAGAAAACTTGGTCTAATGGAAACAACTGCCAAGAGAAGATGCAACATGGGAAAATGCTGAAGCACTGCAAGAACACTTTGGCGACCTAAACCTTGAGGACAAGGTTCCCAAAAAAAGGGGAGGTAATGATAAACCGCAAAGGCCACAATGCTCCATCATCAAACCCAAACGGTATTTGAACTGAGTAAAAGCACATGTGCAGAACGTGCAAAAGAAGACGAAGAAAACGTGCAGAAAATGTTAGCCCGAATCAGCTCAATCTTATCTTCAAGCTTATCTTTATTTTCGAATTCTTTTCCCTAGTTTATCGGTAGATTCAGTTAGAAATTTTATGTATTTAAACACTCATTTGCAGCAATAAAAGGCATCGAAAATTTGCAAACAAATTATAGTTCTTCTCACCCAAACGAGAAAATTTTCTTATCAAATTAAACAAGCTTATGATTGGGACCTATCATTATACTTCATAGCATTATACAAAAGATAGAGTACAAGTCATTAGAAATTCGAGTCCTGATAAATTCTATGTACATGTGTGTGCGAGTAATACAGAAAAAGCATGTTTTTTTTTCCAGTGAAACCACACCAAGAAACTTAATTTTCACATTCTAGTCTTTTTTTTTTTTGTGCAAATCAACAAATACATCAAAACTCGTAACCAGAAAAATGAACAGATATCTACTTAGAAGAAACACCCAAAAAAATTAAAGAAAGACCTTTGTCATCAGTTTTGCAAATCAACAAATAAGAATAAACTGATAACCATAAAAAGGAACAGACACTTGAAAGAAACACCCAAAAAAAAAAAGAAAAAAGCAAGAAAGACCTTTATCATCAGGATCTGCAGACCATTTCCCAGATGTGTGCTTAAAGGTACCCGCTTTTCCCTCGCTCCTTTTCCAATCTGATAACACCCAACGGCTCTTCCATCCATCTATTCAATGCATCAATAAAGACATTACTAAATAAAGATACACCAGAACAACAATTAACAGAAGCAAATTGCTAACGTTTTAAGAAACAGGTACTAATTATACGGTTCTGTTTATAAATCAGAAAATGCCAGTATCCGGAACAGAACTCCTAGTTTGATAATCACAGTTTTATAAAAAGAGACTCTGGAAGCTTTCTTTCCTAGAAGCAACTTAAATCCTACTTCCTACGGAAACAACAAAATCCAAAAATCACCACTGTTTTCCGTTCTTACCAAAGAAAAACACGTCACATACCAAGCGTCAAAAAATAATTCACGATCGAAATAGAATCACACCACTTATTCTCACTATTCTCAAGAGAAAATGGCAAAAAGAAAACCACAAGAGAATACAGTACGGAAAGAGTAGCTAGATAGCAGTAACATCACTTGCTTCTTACACTTTTTTCACCTCCGATTCGCTCTTCAAAGAAGATTTCACAGGAAGTGAAGCTAAAGCGAGAAAGGAGACTTATGAGTTGAAAAAAAAAACAGAAGACCTCGAGAGATCGATCCACAAACATCACACAACAAAAAATCACAATAAAAAAACATAATCACACAGGTTATTCTCTGCTGGTTAGCGAAGAAAATGTAAGAAACAACAAGAGAACATCATAAAGAAAGAGTAACTAGATAGCAGTAACAACACTTATGGCTTTCGCATTTGCTATACCTTCGACTTGCTCTTCGAAGAAAATTTCACAGGAAGTGAGAAAGGAGACTTATGAATGAAAGAAAAAAAAAGAAATAAAACACAAAACCTTGAAAGATTGATTCACAAACATCACACAACAATAACTCGCAATCAAAAAACACATAATCACACAGGTTATTCAACGCTTGATAGTGAAGAAAATGTAAGAAACCAGAAGATAACACCATAAACAAAGAGTAACTAAGGTAGCAGTAACAACACTTATGGCTTTCATATTTGCTTTACCTTCGAATCGCTCCTCGAAGAAAATTTCAGAAGAGGCGAAGTTAGAGAGAGACAGAAGAGTTAGTAGAAGAAAACACAGAAGCTTGAGAGGTTGAAGAAGGTTTAGCTCCTCTCTTTCCCCTTTCATTTCCATTTACAGGAAGAGACCATAAAAGCAAAGACTTCAATTACTTCCTTGCGTTGTCCCAGTAGACTGCAGCTTGTCACTACACTTTGCCATTAAATAGAACCGATAAATCTTTGGGTGAATCCGAAATCCCTAATCTACCCCTATTATTGTTTTTAATTACAATAATAAATATTGAGATAAATAATTTTTTGTCTCACAATTTAATATTATGTATTTATTTTATTATTTATTTAATTATAGATTTTTATAATTTATCTTTTAGAACTCAAAACATGTATATAAATATTGTTTAAAAACCAAAAATTATAGGGAAATAATGACAAATAATATGTAAAAATACTAAATATATAATAAAATAAAATACATAATTTTTATTATAATAATATTAGAAATACAAGAAGTAAAACTGACTTTTTTATTTTTATATACATTTTCAAGATAAAAATAAAACAATTAAAAAATTAAAATTATAACTTTACGATAATAATATAATAAATTATAGAATTGAGAATATGAAATTTTAAAAAGAAAAATGTGTATATAAATTTATTCTATAAATAGCTATTTAAAAATTTTAATTTTTATATAAAATAAAATATAAAAAAAGTTATGTATAGATTAATTTTAAAAAATAAAACATTAACTATAATTATTAAAAAAAATATCGTAATTTTTTATATAATTTATCTAATTAATAGATTATGTACTAAATAAATAGAAAATACGATTAATAGGTCTTCTTGACCGGAGACTTCGGCTTGTCGTGGCTCTTGGCCCAGAAGGACCAGAAGTCAACGGTTGGATTTTCACGGTGGCAAAGTGGTAATTATGAGGATAAGTAGTGGTATTTTATTAGCCAATTGCGATTTTCGGGCCTTTCCAACCCTGACAGCACTTCTTCTACGGTTGAAAAAAAACGCGTGAAATGGGACGAGGACTCGGGATGAGTCAACTCGGTCATTGATGTTCCACTATCTTAATTTCATTATTATTTTATTTTTATATAAAAAATAGTGTTAGTATTGAAATTTACACGGTTTAATTTCAAATTTTAATTAGATTGATTAATCTAATTAAACTTGATTTGAACAAAAAAAAATTGAATCAGTTTATACATTAATCTGAAATTAATTATGTTTTATTTAAAAATTAAACTAAATTAAACTTCAAATTAGATAAAATAGGGTAATTAATAACTAATTAAAAAGGAGGTGAAAATAATGGAGATAGTGAAACTCGTTTATTTTCTACCATGGTGAAGTTCTATTCTTTTATTTAAAATAATAAAAAAAATAAAAATTTTAGTCATATATATCACCTTAAATCAATATAAATCAAACAAATCCAAATCGATATGTATAATATTAGTAATATTATACATATATTATAGAATATATCTTACAGCTTTTGACATTCTGCAATTCCAACCATGAAAAAAAAAAAAAGATCTGAAATTTCCTCCTCCACCTAAGAGATTTCCAAGATGTAAACCAGCAGAAAATCTATGATTTCTCAACAAATATAATATGATAAATATCCATGTTGGATTTTCTTTTCTTTCTTGGCTGTTTGGATAACAAGAAAATGATCACCTTCTTCACAACAAATTCTTTCCTCTGCTAATCAAAAGGCTATATCTATACCCGAAACCAACCCATGTAGGATTTATGTACAGAAAATAAATTACCCAGCTCCTGCAACCACTTGGTGATCACAGGGCTGCTACGCCACGGCGAAAGGATGCCTGCAACAAAAATATAACGAGAATATCATATTTTATTTTAACAGGCCAAACAGGATCAGATCACTTTTTTGCTTTGGTCTCGACTGGTCGGAGACGTGGTGAGGACTGTGATCCACCACCAAGTGCAGCAGCAGCAGATTCAACATGTGTAAGGAGATATTCATATATCTTTTTCCTCAACCTGTCAATCGTCTCTACTGGAACACGGGATGTTTCTCCCTCCTCCTTGCTTAACCCAATCTCATCTAGCCACGCATTCACACTCTTGAGCTGAGTCAACATCCCAGCTATCTGACCATTATCCGCTAATGCTGAGGTGTCTACCTCAGCATCCAAGAATTTCTCCACAAATTCCAAAAACCAATCTTGGGACTCCATTCGCAACATTTCCGACAACTCAACAGCTTCCTCAAGCCCACTTCCTCTTACCCACTCCTGTGGAGGCTGAGCCTGTGCCTTTTGACTGGCTATGGGACCATCCCCTCCTGCTTTCCGAAGAATTCCTTGTGCCACAAGCTTAGAACCAACTGCTGGACGGGTTTTTGGTTTTGACGAAGAATTCTTGACAGAATTTTCAAGGACTAAGATAGGTTGATTTCCATGAAGAGACTTTTGAGCTTGTGCAGGAGCAGAAGCACGAACCAAACTTGACGTAGGATCTTTGCTAAACACAGAGAAGGATGATAGGTTGGTTGCCAGGGCGGCTTGGACCCAAGATGCAGCAAATTTTCGTCTCTCTGATGCGACCTTCAATGCTTCCTCCAATGGACTTTCTTCGTGATCCGGGGATGAGCCAACCTGAATTACTTTAGATAAAGAATCAGCAATAACTCCAGCATTGTTCAAACTTGCATGGAGAGCCAAGAACTGATCAACTGCTGGCCGTGGATCATCTTCCTTGGCAGAGGAAGTTAGCTCGGAATACATGCTGCAGAAAGAATATCAACACAAAATTAAATGAAGGAAAGAAAAACCATAGACACACGTGAATTGCTGCTAATTGATGATTACTGAGTATTTATTACAATGTTCATGAAGTTTTTTCATGTATT